AGTTTTTTGGGTATTTTGGGCAATTGAATTATGTTCAATTCCTATAAATAGCCCTATCCTCCACCATTCTCATCACACCAATTCAACAATTCTCTTAATTTCTTCTCTCTCTCTCTCTCATACTCATACATTCTCAATTCTTTGCAATCTGAGTAATTTTGATTAGTTGATTGTCTAATTCTGCATTATCCAATTCTCAAGTCTCAACTTTATTGAAGTTTGAACTTTCAACAAGAAGAAAGCTTGCTTAACCAGTTCAAGTATCTCAATTTAGGAGGCTTGGATGTTAAAAGGCTTCAACCATTGAAATCAAGTTAGGATTTTGAATCGCCAATCCAGGTGAGTCGAATTAGATAAATTTTTATCTTTCTAAAATAAAAAAAAATGGTCGGCTCTTCTAAAAATCGATTTCCCAACATGTTCACCATTGATGATATTCAATCACATCATAATAGTGTTAGCACTGATGTGATTGATGTCGATGGACATGAAACTTTCACCCTCGGTATTGATACTAGGGGAAAAAGGAGGGCCTCTAAGTTGAGTAGCCCTCTTTGGAAAAATTTCAAAGTAGAGAGGATCTTGAGGGGAAGGTGAAAATGGCATTTTGCCAAAAATGTAGGAAGGACTTTAGTTATTGTAGCAGGGGTTGATGAAGGGTGATTTGGCGCAACCTAGCGAGAAGGGAACACATGGACACGACCTAACTAAGGGATGACAACTCAGCCTAGCAAGATAAGTTCGCAATGTTTGAGCTTGGGTGTTCGGTCACCTCGGCATCGGGGCACCTTGGCATTCAATCTAGTTTGGAACTAAAGAACCAAAGTGTCAGCTCAGGGCTATCAAATCGAACCGCCACGTAACGACTCCGGAAGTTTCTCCAGTAGACCCCGAACCTCACAGGATCACGCCACGTAACGGCAGGCCTAAACTTCTCCCCACCTGAATTGGGCGGAATTGATAAACTTTATTAGTTGATACGTTACTCCCCAATTAAAGCAGAAACGGATCCCCTCAGGATGAAGATCTCGGAACCGATCCGTGAAACCCGCGAGAGCTCAACTATATAGAGGCACCAACCCCAATGACACAAGGTACGCGTGATTTTTCAACTCTCTAGCTCTCTAGCTCTCAAAGCTTTCAGCTCGCACCACAATACACTAACTTAAGCATAGGAGCGAGCTGAGAGTCGGGTCGTCCCAGTGGTGGGCGCAACCTTTTCTGATCCTTTGGTGGTTCCCCCCAGAGTCGGGTCGTCCCAGTTCAACGACCTGGTGCAGTGCGTCTGGGCAATCCAGATCCAGATGCAGCAGGTTCAACAATTCCAGCAGTACCAACAGTATCTCTTTTACCAGCAATACCAGCAGCAGTTCCCTCCACTGCCGCGAAACCAACAGCCGGTTCCACCTTGGCACCCAGGAGCCCAACAAAATTAGAACCGACCTCGCGTCAACCAGGATATCATCCGATCTCCCCACCGAGGTGAAGAGACTTCCCAAGTCCCAGTTCCTCCCAAGAGTCAGGTCTTACCTCGGAAAACAGGTCCGGGGATACCCAGTCTAACAGGGCCAATCTTCCTTGGCGTTCCCAGCAGGAAAACGACAGTTCGCTTGCAGGTAACCAGTTCGGTGTTCGAGACGCGAACTCAAGACAAGGCCTCTCCGTCCATGAAAGCTAGCCCCATAATCCCACGAGGAACCAGGAACTACCTCGCGACAAAATGGTACCAGAGCAAACTGAAATCAGTAGCATCAATGCCGAGCTGGTAAAGAGGCAATAGCGGAGACGTCGTAAGGCACACCGTACCTCGACTCAGAACAGCCAACCAGCGAGACTGAACCAGCAAGAAGGGCAATCTAAAGGTAAGGAAGAAGTGAGCTTGGTAGCTACAAAGGTCGTTCCTCCCCTACTTTCCAGGTCGTCTCCCCTATCTCCCGAGCTCTTAGCGACCCCGATGCCTAAGGACTTCAAGATGCCTCCCTTGGACAAGTATGACGGGTCCTTCGATCCTAATGATCATGTGGACTCTTTCTAGTCCCAGATGCACCTAGCTAGGGCCGACGTCTTGTATGTGTGTGGCCTTCTCCACTACCTTTAAAGGGGTAGTTCGGACCTGGTATTGGAACCTCGCGCCAGAACCGATCAAGAGTTGGTCGCAATTCGCAGATTTGTTTACCTCGCACTTCATCACCAGCAAGAAGTGCTCAAGGTCATAGGAAAGCCTCCTCAACGTGGTTCAAAGAGAAGGATAGTTGATTAGAAGCTACATTAAGCGCTTCAACGACACCTACCTACAGATCCCAGACTTAGACCCGACGGTAAGACTCACAGCCGATAAGAAAAGAATAACCCACAGAGAATTTAAATGGCATGTGGTGGCCAATAAACCGAAGGACATCACCGAATTCCTCAAGCTAGCCGATCAGTTCATCGGTACCGAAGAGGAAATTTACCAGAAGGTTGACAGCCCAGCAGAAAAGAGAAAAAGAGGCAATGACGACACAGGTAATGACGGACACAAAAGAAGAAAGAGCAAGTCCCCAAGCAGAGGAAGAAACATATCTGGAAGTCGATCTCCCTCGCGAGCTCGCAAATCAGGTCAACGCTCCAGGACCCCACCTGTTGAAAGAACAAAGTACACGCCGTTAAACGCCAAGCGAGGAGAAATTTTAATGGCCATCAAGGACTCCTCCTTCGTTAAATGGCCTCCCAGGTTGAGAGGAGATCTTGCAACAAAAAACCGGAACCTCTACTATCATTTCCATAGAGACCACGGGCACAGCACGGAGAACTGCAGAAACCTCCGTGATGAGATCGAGGAGCTCATCCGCCGTGGATACTTAAAAAACTTTATACAGCGAGAAGAGAGAGGACAAGCAGATTGGCAAGCAAACCGACAGGGGGACCAGAGAAGGAATACCCTCGAGACCAGCAGGCATAACGAGCAGCCACCACGACAGTTGCCCGAGGAGAGACCGATGCGCAGGGTAATCAACATGATTACTGACGAGTCAATCATCGCGAGGTGTACATCGGCAGCCGGACGTACCTCAGTCCGTGAACTAGAAAATGAAGAGGAGAACCCGCCAAAGCAACCTCAGCTTGAAGAACCAATATACTTCACGGAGGATGATGCACGTGGGATCCAGTATCCTTATGATGATGCTCTAGTGATAAAACTGAGGCTCAACGACTTTGAAGTCAAGGGCATCTTGGGGGACTTGGGTAGCTCGACAGATATACTGTTTAAGGACACTTTCGACAAGCTGCAGCTGCAGAAAAGCGACCTAAAGCCGGCAGACACTCCCTTGGTAGGCTTTAGCGGCGAGGAGGTTAGACCTTTCGGGCGAGTCACAGTACTTGTAGAGGCTGGCACGTGGCCAAATATCGCGAGGTTCAAGCACACATTTCTGGTGGTCGTAACTCCCTCTCCCTATAACGCCATAGTAGGTCAGCCCATTACGCACGTCGTACGTGTGGTAGTATCGACCTACTATCTAGCGATGAATTTCCCAACAAACTATGGAGTAGGAGTTGTGAGAGGTGACCAGCTCGAATCTCGCAAGTGCTACGTAGCCGCCCTCAAGGGGAAAGCAAAGCTAGCAGCTGACATCGAGCTCGAGCGACCAGCAGAGTATGCCGATGAGCGAGCTGCCCCAACAAAGGAGACCGTCCACATCCCGGTCTCAACTGATGACCCGACCAAGACTCTCCAGATCGATGCTTCGATCGATGAGCCACTTGCTCCCAGCTAGTAAGTTTCTTACTCAAAAACATAGATATATTTGCTTGCTCTGCGGTGGAGATGCCCGAAATAGACTCCAAAATTCTAACTCATAAATTAAATATCGACCCCTTAGTCAGGCCAGTTCTGGTAAGTCCATTACCCGAGCTGAGAAGCTAACCCAGTTCTGGTAAAAAAGGCCAACGACAAGTGACGCAAGTGCGTCGATTACACCGACCTGAATAAAGCCTGCCCGAAAGACTACTTTTTGCTGCCCAAGATCGACCGCCTAGTGGACGCGACCTCAGGGCATGAGTTGTTGAGCTTCCTGGACGCCTATTCCAGTTACAACCAGATTAGGATGAACCCCGCCAACGAATAAAAACTGCCTTTATTAGTGAGCTCGGGTTGTATT